GGGTTTAAGAGTTTAGGAGTTTAGGGGTTTACGGGTTTGCGGTTTTGGGTTGAGGAGTTTAGGGGTTTATGGATTTTGGGTTTAAGAGTTTAGGAGTTTAGGGGTTTACGGGTTTGCGGTTTTGGGTTTAGGAGTTTAGGGGTTTATGGGTTTTGGGTTTTGGGTTTAGGGGGGTGTGTTATGGGTTTGGGTTTCGGGTTTATGGCTTAGGGGTTTTGTGGGTTCAGGGCTCGGGGTTCAGAAGCTTAGGGTTTGCGGTTCAGGGGTTTAGAGTTTGGGGTGATGCTTTTCTTGGGTTTTTACGTTGCGTATGGCGGTTTGTAAGGGTGTTTTCTGAATTGGGTTTAGGGTTCAGGGTTCCAGGGTTTTGGTGCTAAGCGAGTTTGAGGGCTTCAAACTTATAGGCCTTGCAAGTTGAGTGTCTTTTACTTAGCCGGACCTTTCTCACAGAGGGTTTCAGGGTTTGCAACCTTGTTTCGGAACGGATATCTCTACACGAGAGCACAAACATAAAGCAAAAACGAAGCACGGTGTTCTTGCACTACAGTCTCACGAACTCACTTACGAAATTAGAACAGGAAAACGGAGTGCTTTGGGGTATGATAAAGGGACAGCCACCGCCACTCCTGCAAAAGAAGGAGCGCCCTGAGCTTCTAATTCTGATTTGCCGGCAGTTGAGCTCATGCTACAGAACCTCGACAGAAGGACCTAACAGGCCTCCCAAGCCCTGTAATATAAGGGGCCTTAATAATTAGAATATGGTTTGGGGTGTATTATACTCTAATTGTAATAAGGAGCCCCCAAGACCCTATTCTAATTATTAAGGCCCCTACATTAAACCCCCTTAAGCTGCCTTTCAACAGCTCTTCTGGCAACGTCGAGTTCGTTCCCAGGGTCTCCAGCTCGAAGGACATCAGCTGCCTGTCACGACGCAAGGGAGTGGGTTCAGCTATAGGGGTTTAGGTTATAAGGGTTTAGGGTTTAGGGGCTCGACAGGTTTAAAGTGTGGAGGTTTGGGGGGTTTTCGGATTTTGAATGTGCACGTGTGCTTTTGCCAGCCTGGCTGTCTGTGGACAATGTTGAGCCACGGTCTGGGGCCGCAGGGCCGGCGGCAGGTTGGGCGAGGCGTCGTTTTGACGCAGAAAGCTAAAGCAAGAAGTAAGCAGGTGGTCGGATACGAAGCTCTAGTAAAGAGACAAGTATCGGAGAATGGATGTGTTGGCACAGACACGACAGACGCATCTGTCACCCATACATAGGACCATTCATCCATACGTCAGGGTCCCGTGCCTGAGCTGTCTACTCCTTTAGCATCCATGCATAATGCATAACCAGGCTTAGGCAGGTGCGACCCTGATTGACCTGCTTTTGTACTGGCCATCTAGGCAGTCACAATCCTCGGAAACATCATCTGCACTGCAATTCCCACAGGGCCAGGTCCTCGAGAATCGGTCAGACGAACATAGCGTGCCAGTGGGAACGACGGGCATGTTGTGAGACGTAGCTTCGCGGCTTTGATCTTCTTCAGACAGCGAGCAAGCTCGGTAGAACGTGAATAATGTTTTAGAGACGCAACAGATGGAAACAAAATACGGACCAGGACGCTTGAAGGAGGAGGGCTGACTTTGCTCCAGCCTGGGAGTTCGTGCGGTTGCCTGTGATTGTTTGAGGCGCGGAAGCTGCCTTGCACTCTGTTCGCTAGCTACTGTGGTACAGCGAATGATGTTGGCCCCCGGCTCACGGAGTGAGAGCCCTGTCTCCGTAGTAGGTACACAAGTGGTACCTAGTTGCTTCATTCGGGTACGGTGGGTTGAAACCTAACGAGCCGAGAAGGTTTCACATGAGCCCACATGCTTTGGTGCAGATGCATGACGGAAGCAGGGCAAAACGCGATAAGGACCACCCTCCTTTCGCCACTCCATGGTTCGGTTGCACGCTGTATAGGGTTTTGGCCGAAATCTGACCGGAGCACCCCGAATGGAGTGGATGCGCCCCTGCTTCACGATTACATGCACAACCTTCGCCACCGTGCCTTGCGGGCTCTCTATCCAGATGCCGCCTCCTTTTAACGAAATGAGTCCCATGAGTAGATTTGGTGTGAAGGCATTGTTGCTGTCTTTGTGTGGCTGTCGGCATTCCCCCTCAGAGATGGCTACTGTGGAGAAATGAAAGCCTGCGGGCGCCAGCTGCTTTACACATCTGCAGACGTACCGTCAAAGCAGGATAGCTTCGACTGGCTTTAAGGGGCCGGGTGCTCGATCTTGCGTTGTGTCCAAAATAGATGCTCGTGTTGATTCCGCTGCTTTCACTCCGACTCCACATCGTAACCCCCAGAGCAGGTCTATCACTTTCAAGATCTGGCACAACGGGTTCGGCTAACCCTGGTCAGGGTCAGCCAAGGCTTCACAGCCTCTGCATTCATCTTGCTGGTCTGATTGGGCCGGAAACTACTGCGGGTGTGATGGCGAAGCTTCAGCAGTTGTTCTCCATCAACACAGACACTATGAGCGAGCTCATAACGCACTGTTTTATGAAAAGGTCGCTTTGGCGGCTTAGGATTTATGGGGTTTAGGGAAAAACCAAAGCCCCTTAAACCCAAAACCGTAAACAGCATGAATGTGAAATCCATGCATGCAGAAGCCTCAAGAATCCCGCGTTCGGGCGGGCGATGGGGCGCTTGGACTTCACATACGCAAGCGCGTCGGCGAGAGGCATCTGCCTGAAGAGAGGGCTCTGCAAGCTTAGTGCTGAAAGCTCGTGTGATGTAGGGTCCCCATGTCTAGTTAAAGCCGGAACTAGCCATACACAAACTTGTTTGAATGCTACTTCAATAATCACACACGCACACACACACACACAATGCTGCCCCCCAAAACCCCTAAGCCTTTGAAGCCGTGAAACCTTCCAAACGCTGCAAACACCAAAGTCGAAAACCTGTTCGAGGAGGGGCTCAACCCTGATGCCCTAGAACCCCAAGCCAGCTGTGGGCTTCAACCATTTTCCCCATTCACCCCAAGAGCCCCTAAACCCTGCAACCCTACAGTCATTAATCCTACCGATAGGCTCCAGAGTGGTTCCTTTTGGGGTTCAAATTTAGAATCCTATGATGTAATCCCGAAAAGGAACTACTATGGGGCCTATGGCTAAACCCATAAACCCCCCAGGTAAGCCCTATAAGGGTTTAGGGTTTAGGCTCTAGACCCGACGGCCCTATAAACCTCCAGATGCCCAGCCTGGAGATCAGATAGGCCAGGCAAACGGACACTGACCGACTCTTACCTCCGCTGTCAGGGTTTAGGGTTTAGGAGTTTAGGGTTTAGGGTTTAGGGTTTAGGAGTTTAGGGTTTAGGGTTTAGGATTTATAGGGTTTAGGGTTCAGGGCTTAGGGTTTAGGGTTTAGGGCTCCTTTCTGCACTCACACTCGACAAAGCAGGCGAGGCTCCGGTCCGACGGTCAGGTTTAGGGGTTACCTTAAGAACCCAAAACCTACTTTTTTGTAGGGTCCCTATAAATCCCATATTCGGGTTTATAATAAGAACCTACAAAAAAGGTTCTTAAGGTAGGCTTTACCCATATAGGCCCCATAGTAGTTTTTTTTCAAGGGGTTCATAGTTATAGAATCCCGTAATGTAATCCCAAAAAGGAACTACTATGGGGCCTATGGGTATAGGGTTCAGATCGGAAGGTTTAGGGTTCAGGGTTTAGGTTTTTGCTTCTTGGCGGTTTTTGGTAGTGTTGAAGGCTTTTTCGGCATTTAGCGTTTGAGGAATTCGGGGCTGAATTGGTTCTGCCAGTGCCAGATCCTTGGCAGCCCCAGGACAAAAGCCAAATGTAGGGTATACTAACTAGATAGAGTAGCGCGTTGGGGGGTTGTATTATGCTAACAAGCCCGAATGAATAGTAACACTAATTGCTCAGGCCCTATATGCCGGACCCTTGTAACTAAATAGTCCCCGGACGCTCCGTCCGCTTTCAGGGGTTAGAGAGAAGGAAAGCATCGTCAGGTACCCCGCCCTAAAAATGCAGGCTATCCAATGATTAGCCTTCAGGTCCGGTGTATGGGGTATGATGGACTTATGCTTCAGGCTTTGAGTTCAGTTAAAGTCTTGAGGTTTAGGGCGTAGGGTTTGAGGTATATAGAAGGCCTTGGGATCTAGGACTTGTATGGCCCAAGGCTTAGGTTTCACAAGCGTTTAAGGATTCGAGGTTGTTTTTCTTGTTAGTTTTTGGCTGACTAGGATGCAGGCTGAGGGCTCAGGAACTCAGGTGTATGGTTTGCTTTGTTTGTTCGGTTCGAAGTATAGGTCAGCTGATAGGTTTAGGATTTGGGTGCATGTGTGCAAAAAGACCACCTCTGATGAGAATAGATCTTAGTCTAACCAGGCTATCCCAGCGACCTTCGTGGCAGTGGACAAGAATCTTTCCTCCAGCTTCTTCCGCTTCTGCAATGACCTCTTCATTCATCGCTGAATTCATGTTCACAAGCCCCAAAGATGGTTCAAACTTGCAGTTCTGCAAGGGGGTAATTTTTTCCCAAGTGTAACGTACATTCCTTCAGATACACAACCCAAGACCCAAGCTTCCCTGCCACCTCCAGTGCGGATTTCAGGGTCTCTGACAGATCCTGGTTTTCGTGGTCGGGTAGGGCCAGCCGCCGCCAATTGAGATCTCCCAACTCCTCCTCGCTGGGGGCTGGCAGGTCTTCGGTGCAGTTGAGGATGTGCGTCACGCCCAGCTTCCGCAGCACATGCAGGCAAAGGCTCGTTGCACCACCCACGAACCTAAGACAGCTAGCAACCTAAACGAACCTAAGAGATCCTGAGACGCATCTTCCCAAAATCGTTTCTTAACAAACTAAACCTTCTAAACCTTAAGTTAAATACATGCAAACCCAACACTCCAAACCCTCTAAACCCTGACCTAACCGCTATAAGCCCCATAGGTTAAATTAAAGCCTGGACCCGAAACAGAATCCCTGAACCTTAAACCTTAAACCCTCAAACTAAAACCCTCATAGGGACCGTATTGGAGCCGATACAGGAGCCTCAACCCTGAACCCTACAGAAACCCAGTTCCTGGTTGGGATAATGTTAAACGTTAAGACTTCTATTCCTTGCTGAGTTTAAGTATGCATAAAAATGTAACATGTTACCCAACTATGACAGAGGAACCCTTGAAGGGGATCCTATATGATAGAATCCTATACTACCCTTAAGAACCCTATACTACCCTTAAAAGGACCATATGATAGAACCCTATACTGCCCTTAAAAGGACCCTATGATAGAACCCTATACTGCCCTTAAAAGGACCCTATGATTGAAAGCATACTACCCTTAAAGGACCCTATGATAGAACCCTATACTGCCCTTAATAAAAGGACCCTATACTACCCTTAAAAGGACCCTATGATAGAACCCTATACCTACCCTTAAAGGACCCTATATGATAGAACCCTATACTGCCCTTAATAAAAGGACCCTAAGATAGAACCCTAAAAGGATCCTATGATAGAACCCTAAAAGGATCCTATGATAGAACCCCCTCCCAGCCGTCTCCGAGTTGCAGCGGGACCTTCGGAGAGAGATCCGCTGGTCGCGAGACCGAGCCGGCCATGTGAAGGACTTTGATGCGGCTGGTGAGCTGCCTCAGACGTACCTTTTCGGATTTTCGGGCGTAGGTTTTAAAGTTTTTTTGAGGGTTCTTATAAGGGTTTAGGGGTTTAAGGTGTAGACGTGCCGTTGGATTTTGTTTTTTTGGGGGTTACGGTTTATTTGCAAGGTCTCCGGCTCCTGTGACAACTCAAAACTACAAACCCCTCCTATGCGGACCCACCATACGTATAAGAATGCCTAAACCTTTCCCGTAGTCTCCATTGTATACCCTCTTTTGCTTTAACCAATTTGTCTATAGGACCCTAGACGGTAACCCGAAAAGTGAACTATAAGAGGCCCCCAAGCTCCTCAATCCCAACACCTTGAGCGTGTCAGACTAAAGCTCTCAAACACTGAACCCAAAGCCCGAAACCCTAAACCCCTAAAGCCCGAAACCCTAAACCCCTAAACCCCTAAAGCCCTAACCCCTAAACCCCTAAAGCCCGAAACCCTTAAAAGAAAGGCCCCGAATCAGCCCTGACGCCCTCACTTTCCATTGAAATGGGCTTCAGTGTGATATGGAGTTTAGGGTTAGGGTTTAGCGTTTAGGGTTTTTTTCCCACCCGCTTCGCTGACTAGGTCGCACTGCAGGGCGTTTAGGGCTTAGGGCTGAGGGTTTATAGGGTTTAGGGTTTAGACATTCAAAAAGCCGAAAAAGGAGCTCGAACCTTCTGGACGAACTTCTCAAGCTCTGGCTTGCGAGAGTCTAAACTAAAGTGGGTTTCTTGATAATTAGGGTTTTAGGGTTTAGGGTTTAGGGGAATAGGGTTTTGCCGCTCTGCCTTTTCAAAGATCCTGAAGCGTGCCCAGGGGCAAGAAGCTCGTAGGCATCCGCCACGGGATTGAGAACGCTCTCGCCCAGAAAGCCACGAAAGGAGAAGGAAGTGCGCAGCTCTCGTCGGGCAGCCCACTCATCCACGGCCTTCGCGAGATTCTGGGTCTTCTCGCGCAGCAAGTCCTCGACCGTCTTTTTTACAAGTGACCTTAAAACCCGAAGCCTTAAACCATAAACCGTGAACGCCAAAACCCAATAAAACCTAACCAGTTGGAATCTAAGGTTTGGGGTTTCGTGAATGTAACATATTTACTTTGGGGCTCTGTCGGGTAGGTACTCTTAACCTATAAATACTTGTTCGTACCCCTGTATGCAAGGCCTATAAAACCCAAAGCGCCGTTGGGGAGATGCCACAATACGTTTAACATACTCGTTTTGGAATCCTATACAACCCTAGAGTCCTAGAGAACCCTTTTATACGCATGTACCCAACGAAACACAACATAGCCCTAAGCCCCAAACCCTGAAATACCAAAGACCTTCCAGTATCCCCTATAGTTGAGGAACATACCTAACTAAGATGCGGGATCCTACCATAAGTTTAAGGTATATTCCTTAACCAAAGGATATGGGAAGGTCCGGGTAACCCGGCTCCTGCCACATTGCCAGCCGCTCCTTGAAAGCATCAGGTTTTGTGGCCTCTTGGCTGAGGTCACGGAGCTCCGCTGTGTTCCCCAGCCTCAATACAGCTAGGATCTATATGGGCTTAGGGTTTAGCTCGGTCTACTTGTTGTTTAGTCTTGTTCCACCTGCCGATCACAGGGTTTGGGTTCTAGGAGTCTAGAGGTTTAGGGTTTTGCGTTAGGGTCTGTGTGGCTATTGGGGTTGAGGACTAGAGTTGAAGATTTCGAAGAGCTTCCCAAGGAGCCCACAACCGCCTCATTGAGGAGTATTCCTAAACGGTTTCTCGGTATAAAACACATAATACTGCTTGTGAAGGCGGTGTTCGGCTTGTTTTTCAGATGCTTTGGGTCATTATTCAAGTTTGGGAGGAGATCTTGGGGTGACAATCTGAGAAACCCTGAAGATGCCCAAGGTTTCTTTCAGGTTCTATTGCGAGTTCATCGTATTTCAAAGCGCCGCGTTCTGGCAAGCCCTCTAGATGTTTTGGTTTGGGTATCGGCACTCGTTAACACTCCTGACTGCGCTGCAACTAGTAAGTTAGACATCCCTGGAAAGGACAGCAAATTGTCACCTGTTCCTAAACCCTGAACCTTTTCGGGAGTTTTTTGGATGTTCCTGACATCAAACCGGCCAGATGCGACATGAAAGTACTCGTGTCAACTAGAGGAAAGTGGTAGATGGCGGCCGCAGTAGACATATAGCGACGGTAGAATGAGTCGTAGCAGCAGCGGTAGCCCAGGCCCCAACCCCAAACCCGGCTACTACACAATCCCCGACCCCAAACTGTGGCCTCACGGTACAAAGTTAGCAAGAGTCTACACCGCCCTACACTGTGCGCCCAAGGAGCTTAAGCTGGGCACGACTAGGTGAGTTCGCACGCAGATCGATGAGGTCTGCTCGAAAATTCTCGATCCAGGAATGAACAACGTCTGTCATCCTTGGTGAGGCTTTCAGCATGCGGATGATGGTTCTCCAATGTTCTCCAGTGGCTGCTTCACTGTCTAGCTGCCTCGCTTGCACTGGCGATATTCAGGACCACCCAAACAAGAATCGACAAGGCTGCATCATGAACTCAAACCCTAAACCCCCAAACCCTAAACCCGTGGAAGCCGCGGAGCATTTCTAACAGCCCTTGCTCCTGAACCGCCGCAGCTAAGGCGGCCTTCGCCCCCTCGTTGAAGGCCTTGCTTTTGGGTTGCTTAAGGGTTTTAGGGTTTAGGGCTTAGGGGGATTTTAGGGCTTTTTTGACACTAGTACAAGCCTGGCAAGGCCTGCAGCGATACGGGTCCGACAACGCATTTTTGCGCCTTTTGGGGCTTAGGTCTTTTCGGGTTAAGGTTCAAGGGCTTCAGGAAGTGGGGCTTGGACTTCTTGGATTCTAGAGCTTGGGGGTTGAGTGTTCCGGGGCTATTCCGGGCCAAAGAGTTTCGAAATGAAGATCTGGGATCTGGCGTTGAGGTTTACGGTTTACAGTCTCACAACTCGGACAATCCAGGCGAGGTCTCAAGCGCAGTCGGAGTGAACATAGTGAAGCCCTTCAGGTTGAGGGTTTATCCAGCACCCCCCAACTACCCTCTATTATACCCAAAATACCCACTATTACGGACCATAAGGGCTCTATTAAAGGGTACTTGGGGGGTGCTGGATAGGGTTCAGGGTCTAAGCCATACATCTGAAACCTCACAGCCGAACGCCTGCACTGGCCGGTCATGTACACCCAACCGAAGTACTTTCAGGCGTAGATCAAGGAAGCCTAGCCTCCAAGAGGAGCCTTACACATATTGCACGAAGTCTCAGACAACCTGGTACGAAACCTAAGCGCCTAAACCTCTAAAGTCATGCCCCCTGAACCAGAAAGGGCCTGAGCCCTAAACACTGAAATCCGACATCCTAAGCTAAACTGGCTAAAGCTACTCATTCTGACCCCCGGTAAACCCCTACACCAATGTTCTACCTAAACCGTGAGCCCCGGAAAACCCAACCTTTTATACATGGGTAGTTCTCTAGATTAGAGTCCCTTTTTAGGGTACTTTTTATAGGGGTGCGGTACCACTTTGGGGACCTCAAAAGGACCCGAATTTAGAGAACTACACACATGCTAACGAAACACGGAGCCTGTGCTTCCACGTGCTTCTGCACTCTCAGAACGGCCCAAACCCCTTAAGCTTTCGAAGTTCAGGGATTCTGGGTTTAGGGGTTTAAGGTTTTTTGGGAGTGTTGGGTTCTGAAGCCGAAAGTAAGCCCGAAGAAAGCCCGGAATAGCCGATCCTCAACCTTTAACCACATCCCTAAATCCGCGAGGATGTCCTAAAAAGTCCGACAAAACCATCCGAGAAACCTTGAGCCCCTAAACCTGGCAAAGGCCCCCCTGGACTTAACCCCTAAATCCCGACTGTAGGGACCTTGATAATTGGAACAGAGTTGGGAGTTCCTTCTTATAATTACTGTATACAATGCCCCCAAACCCTATTCTAATTATTAAGGCCCCTATACTAATACTAAGCCACCCCAATTATAGTGCATTATACCCCCAAACCGAACCCTATTTTAATTCTTAAGGCCCCTATATTAAGCCACCTTCAGAATCCCGGGCCTTCACGCTGCTCATGGCCCCCGCTTTTTCAGCAGCGGCCTTGCCTCCGTAGCGCTCCGCCCAGGCATTCTCCTTTGCAACCCCAGAGGGTCCTAAGTACCTATATAGTAGAATGTAGGGTTTCTATAATAGGAATTACTATTATATTATGATTTAGGGGAGTATCCCTCATAACAGTACTTAGGACCCTGTGGGAACGAAGCCCCAAGCATGTTGGGTTTAGGGTTCCGAACTTCCGAAACAGTGTATACTTTGGCTTTGAAGTAGTCCCTATGTAAATACGGTAGGTCCGAAGTACGTACTAGTCGAGTGCATTCAAAGGGTTTGCGTAAGGAAGGGATTTAATAATCTGATATGAGGGCTTTGAGCTTTTAGGGCTACGAAGGGGGTATAACTGTCGAAAAGTTGTTAGAACGGCTCAAGGCTTTATTATAAGGGCTTAGGTTTTTGTTTTATCGGGTTTCGGGTTTAGGGTTTCATAAGCGTTTAGGGCGTAGGGCTCTCCTTTGCAACAAAGGGCTTCCTTGGTTGTTTCTCAGGGTTCCTTGGGGGTGCAATTTCTTAGAAAGAGGCTGCAATATGTGTTCGAGAAGGGTTCGGGTTCAGGGTTTTCCTTTGCAGCCAAGGGGTTCAGGGATTCCAGAAAGGTTCCAGAAGTCTTCTACCGGGTGTAGTGCTTAAGGATTCTCCTTTGCAACAAAGGGGGGACAAATGCCTTTGGATTCTATGCGGGGTCCACAACGCTCTATATATTGTTCTTCGTGTGTGTGTGTGTGTGTTCTGGGAGGGTTCTATCAGGCTGTACAAGGGTTTACCCCTTTGTACTATGGTTAGTAGGAGCCAAACCCCCAGCTTTGATTCTCTGAACCTGGCCAGGGTCAGAGCTTTAGAATTTAGGGTTGTCTTGTGCGTGCATGCAGACAGGCATGCATGCATCCATCCCTGCATACATGCCGGGCACGCACACATGTGATCTCATGCGTGCATATGTCTGCATGCGCTCACCGGTGTATACGAACATGCCTTTTGAGGGTGTGTGTCTTGATTACTTGCGGGATCGGCACCTTCGGCCAGAAGCACGCAACTCCCAAACCCTAAAACTGCTCGTGAGACATAGATATTAAATTCTACTAACACAGGCAAATGCTGAAGCACATCGCAGGGTCGTTGGAGGCCCAGTCGGCACTGATAGCTTCAGCAGCTGCAGTGTTGCAGCTGAAAGCCTCCATCAGCACCTCAAAGACTATGCGCCCACAGTTACGTTTTCTTTGGTTTACCGAGCTTATAGTTAGGATCCCATCTACAATGGAGACTATAGGTAATTTGTACACTCATCAAATGAAAGAAAAACGGAACCTGTGACGAACACTTACCGACATCCCTGAGAAGGTCCGGCATCAGGACTTGTGTTTTTTTCTCATTCTGATCGAAAGAATCCAGACAGCAACCGACTGCAGATGCCTTAGAAGAGGTTTGGGCCCAGCCCATACTTCCCACCCTGAACTAACCCGAAGCTCTCCACCACGCTTCGTGGAGGGCTATTCACTGCTCCACTTCAAACAATACACTACGCCGGCAACAAATTTAGCCTGAGGCTTGACACCACCATACACCTTGAAAGGATCCTACACTACCCATGCCAGTCACTTTGTAAACCAGAGGCCCTGCAGCGCTGCACGGCAGTAGACCCCAAGACAGTAACGACATGCTGTCTACAAAGTTGCCGCCTTGATGTCAGTATAAAAGTGGCCACCCTCTACCCCTACCCACGGTACCAACCAACCTACCTACATTGTGCGACTAGAGCGGCAACTCTCTTCCAGAATCTACGCACGGCCATACTTATGCAGCCCGTGCCTGCTGTGCACTCGCCCGATCCAGCAAGACCAGCTCGAGAAGCCATGCGGCTTTCTGATCCATCTCCCGAACTAGCCTTCGAAGCTCAGAGTGCCCAAGGCCCAAGACCCTTCAACGGGTTTCACTAGGGTTCTTTGCTTGGGGTTTAGGAGAAGTCCCCAATGCGACTTAGTAGCGCGAGAGTCTTGGGCCCGCTGGTGGCAGAAGCAGGGTGTAACTTTTTTTGGGGGGGTTTCCGGTGTCCGGGTAACTCGTTGATCCCCACCCCCCAAACCCTTACCTCATCTCCGAAACTGTTGGATCCCCAACACGGCCCCAACAGGGCAGCTCTGGAGGTCAGCCGCAGACTAAACAGAGAATGTAATAAGAATATTGAAACAGCAATAACGAGAATAATAGCCTGTATAATAATACCGCGACAAGTGTACCCTAAACCTTATCGACCCTTAGACCGCAAACCTAAGCCTTAAACAGTAACAGTAAACGATCCAAGGATCAGTTTCGGTGGTCTTCGCGCCACCACCGCATCGATGGGAACGCAGCGGCCATCGCTCCAGAGCACGTTCCCGGGATTGCCACGCCAACCTGCTTCTGCAGTCTCGAAAAATAATGTATGCTGATGCTCTAAATCAAAATCTTAATGCCTCTATGGTTTAGTTAAGGAGCATACCTCAAATCACATTAAGGATTGAAGTCCTAAATTGAAAGGTGTTGGGCTCTCAGGGCATGCAGCACCAGGGCACTGCTTGCAATTGGGGCTGACAGATAGGGTAGGTGGTTTTAAACTGCTTCTTCAACCACCCATCCCTCGTCAGACACGGGTTACGGCTTAGGGTTTAGGGCGTTTTCAATCTCGGTGCTTTTCCAAAACCGGTTTTTGTCCGTTGTAAGTTTTCTGCTGCTCGGGGCTCGTCGTGACAGAACCTCAACCTAAAACAAGAACCCAGGCCCTGAATTGAAAAAGACTTACCACTCAAACCCTCAACCCTTCATCCCGAATTAGACCCTGTAAAGCCCTTGAAATGCCGGAAGCTCTGAAGCGACGAGCAGCCTAAGGAATGCAAAGGCAATCGATCAGCATTGCCCAGCAGCAGGTCCAGGATAAACCTGGGAATCCGTTTTTTCATGATGGCTTCTTGAAACCAGGGCCATTTGCCCCGTTAAGAGCTCTTCAAACTACCGCGACTTCAGCTACGATGCTATGCCCTCGGCTCTCCCAATAAGGGGGATAACGGCAAAGAGGGCGCCATGGGCCTTCGATTGTGGAAACACGGGCTCAACCTTAATCCGCAAACTCTCAGCTTAAGCCCCCTGATGGCTCAATCTATGGCGAGCGCTCTAACTTAAAGTCCCTTTCTAGGTCCCCAAACCGTGCGGAAGCCTTCTTTAAAAGGGCCCTGCCAGGGACCCTCATTTACAAAACTGTATCAAGAAGAGACGGAGTTGGCATCGCAAGACTACCGGGACATGACTCAACTCTCACTGCGGGAAATCTCCATGGTGAGCGTTCCAACCAACTGAGGGTTTAGGGTTTACCTGGACCCCAGAGTATGTAGAATAATCGCCTTAAGTGGGTGTTGGGCCAACATACTTTAGGGCCTACCGTAACCCCAAAGAGCCTAGCTTTTGAAGGACTTATATAAAGAAATCACAATAAGGAGCCCTAAAAGGGTCGGTTCTTCAGGGTCCAGGTAACTTGAAGGGCTCTAGGTAGACTTGTCCCCTAAACCCTAAACCCCTAAACCCTAAACCCTAAACCCCTAAACCCTAAACCCTAAACCGAGCAACAAGCGGCCCAAGGCCTGGCAGGCCTTGGCCAGATTCGGCCCTTGGAAGGTCTCCACTTCGCCTGGGTTCTTGTTAAGGGATCTAATTTAAGTTTCCATAATAGGGATCTATAGTAAATAATATGGTTTCCTTATTATGGTAACTTAAATTAAATCCCTTAACAAGAACCCAGTCGCTTTCCAGGTTTTGACCAGGAACGAACTGCAGCAGCAGCATCGACATCCTCAATGTAGTAATACTCATCGGGCTCTTCAATTCGGTCTAGGGTTTGGGACTTAGGATTTGTCGTCTTGTGGCCTCTGATCTGGGTGTTTGTCCAAAGGCGACTTCGCACAACAGCGGGCTCTCCGTGGATCGCGCAACCCGTCTGGTTGAGACAGTCTGCAGAGGTTGCATGTGCGAAGAAGGCAATTTGTACGGATCTTGTGCTGCGAATTTGGTGCAGCACGTATGTGAGTGAACGGCTGTGAAGCTTTTAATATGCCAGTCCGAAGATGTTGAAGCACTCGTTCTCAATCCGTTGCCGGCTCCTCCCTGCCTTCCCCCCAACCCTCTCCTGTACCAGGCACCTTCAACAATGAAAAGCTTGGTCACTAACCTAACTGCGTGGCAAGCATCTTCTTCTGGAGCACCTCTGCCAGCGGCGGGCAAACCTGCACGGAGCCAACCGGCTCACCAATCAGGACAGCTATAACCACGATCAGCAGCAGCACCGCATTCGTCAGCGTCATTGCCATCCTCACCATCTTCCTCTTCATCAGCATCATCATCATCGTCATCGTCATGATGACCAACTACACCAGCGACGGCAACAACACTAGCAAAGTAGGTGAAGCTTCTCGCCGACCACACTGCAGCCCACCAGCCACGAGCATCGTCCTGGTCTTTGTCCTCCTTATCATCATCATTATCATTTATCATCATCACCAACAACAGAATCAAGAAGGCGGTCGACAACAAGAATTACGAAACCATGACATCTTTGGGATATCTTGGTAAAAAGAGAAAACGGAGCCAAAACAGAAGTAACAAGCAAAGCGGCTACGAACATGGTACCCAGGCAACACACACACACACACACACCTCCGAGACTTGCTGTTGTTGGTCGTGGTGTGATGATGTTCTGCTTTTGTTGTTGCTGTTTTCCAAGGATATACCGTATCAGAACAGACGCCAACTACAAAATACCTCCCCCGGCGCCCCACTGCCCACCCGCTTCACCCCGCCGGAATTTGCCTCTTTGTTCTTGCTGTGTTGTGTGATTGTTCCTCTTGTTCCTTCTGTTTTGCTTATCCTGTCTTGGATTTAAAGATTCCTGTAGCTTCCTAGAATACGCAGCATGCCGGGTCCTATGGCATCGTCCTCTCCGTATGGCATCATGGCTACGGCGTTCTGAAGAAGTGCCACAATGGTGAGAGATGCTCATGTAGCCTACATCGAGCGCACCCAAGACGCACCCTTCGTTCGTGCGTCGAAATTGAAGCCCTGAAATCCGACCCTACAGCCGGGAGACACATCGATTCCCTGGTCGAGCGTACTTGGGACAGTGCATCTCTCAACCCGCACACCGCCAGCCTGAAAACCCGAACCCCTGAACCCTAAACCAGGCTGACAGCACCTGCACAATCTCTCCAACTATGCAGCGTCAGCCCTAAACAGCAGAAGCCCGAAGCCTCAAAACCTTTCAATGCCCAAAATCTTACGAAGCCACCGCCCGCAACCCCCATACCGAGGGTGTTTAAACACAAGTACTAGCACGACCATCACGAATACAATGCTAGTTACCCGCAGGGCACCGGTTGCTTCAATAGTAGATTCTCAAACTAACCATATCATACATAGCCCAGTAACCCATTAATTATTATAGCAACGGAGCCCTGGTACCAACTAAACCCTAAATCCGAAGCCCTAAGCCCTAAACCCCTAACCCTTTTTTTGCATCAGGACTTGTGCAAAAGCCCCAAACCCTAAACCCCTAAACCCTAAACCCCTAAACCCCTCAACCCCTCAACCCTAAACCCTAAACCCTGAACCCTAAAACTTCCCCAACCCAGGAAGCCTCCAGAGCCCTGGCACTTAGCTGCTCCCACTCCTGGGAAGCTCCCGGCCCCTACGGGCCCAAGGTCCCACAGAGCAGTTTCTAAGGCCTTACTAAAGAGGATCATACCCTAAACCCTAAACCCTAAACCCTAAACCTTAGTTACTATAGGTAGTTAGGGCCTGAGAATCTACTATGATCCTTTGGGCCAGAACTGCTCTAACTCTTCTTCGCTGGTTAGGATTTATCCTTCAAAGGCTGTCATTGAGGCACATCGTTGAAGTCGGGCTTTAGGTATGTTATAGTACAGCATAACTGTATACAGGGACAGCTGTTGGATGTTCCCAGAGTACTGACACCTCTACACACCTCTACATCAAGTGCGAATCTTTCTCGCAGGAGTTCTTGCTATTGCTGGGCTTCGGCTTGGGATTCAATCTTTCAGGGTTCATGATATGGTTTACAGAGACTTAGTCTAAAATTACACAGCTGTAGGAGCTAAGGGTTTAAGGGACTGGCCTTTCCATCTGCAACGCTTCGGCTTTGGAACCTCAGGCTTTTTCAATATCTCCGAGGCCTTAGGGCGGTGTGGAGTGTAACGTCTCTAAGTTTAAGGTTTTAAGGTTTATAAATTATAGGTATGCAGGACATCAGGCTGAAGTTGACGTTACCGACGATGATGATCAAAGAGAAACTTGCGGCCCGAAGCCCTAAACCCCAGAGCTCTGCTTCTCTTCTGCAGATACCATCCGAGCCTCGCCCTGCGAGTACTGCGGCCAAAATTCTGCCGTGTCATGCGGCTTCAGGAGGATCCGCGAAGCTGGGCCGGGCACGCCTAGGGCGCACGGGCCGGAAAGGGACTCAGGAATCTAACAGGGGTCCCGTTTAAAGGGCTCCTTTAATTAAGGTATACTGTAAGGGCTACTATAAGGGTTTAGGGTTTAGGGGCATCCCGCCTTGCTAGGACAGGCCCGCGATGCAGGATCTCCAACAGGTGCACAGCAGAAAAAACGCTGGTCGCAGCACGCGATGGATGACCAAGAAACACTTGCACCAGTCAAAGCCCCGCTTCATGACTGCTTTCGGTGGCTTGAAGAAACGCTGCTGTGTCATGTCGGAGCCACACTGGTGGCAGCAGTTAAATGGCCCAGTTGGCCTTGAAAGTGTACGAAACTACAAGGGATGGCACCGCATCCTTCTTAAAACCCGAGCGCAACACAAGACCCGATGGTGCTGTCAAGCCCACTCAGACGCCAATGATCAGGTTGTCGTGCGCCATGTGCTGGACACTGTTGTCGGTATTGGTTGCACCGCCTGACAGGCCGAAGTCGATGCCGACAATCCGCCCCAAAAGACTTCCTGTCGCTCAGGCACTGCGAACTCCTCCGTGGCTCTATCCTCGTAGGTGACACTGGCCACGGTTCCAAACACTCCTTCCTCGACACCCTCCACCTCCAAGCCTACCGCAAAGACACCCTCCTCTGTTCCAATTGAGGTCATGTCGAAGCGAAGGCGATAGGAGCCGTTGCAGCCTGCACAATTATATGCATCTCCCCGCTCTGGCCGGGTATAAGGTTGTTGTCGACGAAGCCCGTTGATGTGTACTGAGTTTCGCCGAGGATCGCCGAGATGGCTGCGTCCGGGAAGCTGTCGAAATGGGCACCATCGAAATTGTCAGCGGCGAAGTATCCTGGATTATCGTATCCATCAATGATAGAGCTGGCTGCCTGCGGTGGTAATGGGGCAGTCGCCCTCCGGTTTTTTTGCAGTAGCCATACCGACCATACCGTTTGAATCAGCGATGTTTGGCGGCTTTGCTCTGGCCTTGGCCTGAGCCCTGACCTTTCCCCAAAAGAGTTTCATAGCTCTGGCGGCCTTCTGCTGGGCCTTCCACGCCTTGAATGGTTTTTGCTCTGGCAGCTTCAAGCGGCTGGTAAAGCTGTCGGAAGGAGGCCCTGCAGGGTGAGCAGGGGTGCATTGCCCCCGGAATATGGAATTCTACCTTCACTTCCTCGCACACTGTTAGGTGATGCGTCGTAGTTGTTGTGGTCGACTGCGATGCATCTGCACCCTTGGGCAGCTGCACAGTGGAGCGTCCGTAATCCTGGAAGAGCTCCACGACATCTCCTCTGCCAGTCCCACAATCGTCTGCCCTGATCCCGGCGAAGAAGAGAACTACCAAAAGCAGGGTCATGTTCATTCTGTCCATCGGCGCTTGAGCAAGAGCTTATGCTGCAGCCGTGTCGAAACTGAGTTCTGGGTCTTGCTGGTTTCGGCTTCTTGGCTAAGGTAGAGATTAAGCGAAGATTTCCGGACGGTCGACTCGCGGGCTCTGCTTGGCGACAACCCGTTAAGGGGATGTCTTGAAGGTGTGCTGAGTCGCAAACTTGGACTGAACTCTTACAGCCAAGATACCTAAATGCCGCGCCAGCTCGGCTGCCATCTGCTCAGATTGCAGGATGTAGCGGTTGTTGCAGAATTTGAGCACGACGGCCTGAAAAGCAAGGAACAAGAAGTATTACTATCATTATTCTTGTTAGCAGTAGTAGGAGTAGGAGAAGGAGCAGGAGTTGTAGAAGTACTAGTATACGTATGTGGTAGTAGCAGTAGTAGTAGTAG